TGGGGGGGCGCGGGACCGGAGGACGGGGTGTAGCCGTTGTGCACTTACACAAACCGGTTGTGTCACAGATGGACGAAACATGGAGGAATGACAAAATCTAGCAGTGAACATGTAGTTTCGGCAGCCTTGATTGAGTCGCTTTTGTTACGGTGTAACTGCCCAAGCACTGTCTCGTCGTGTGGACACGACTGCACGGCTCCCAGTTGGCGCAGAGCTATTCACCGTTTCACCTTCCTTGTTCAGTTTGTGACCCCACAATCGTGTTGTTACTAACGTGATTCAAATTCTCTTCTGAAGACTGTGGTACAGTTTAATCAAGCCTTTGCGGTGGCATTCATCTCTATAGCATCTGAGCCCGTTAGGAACCTTAATTTATTTTAAAGACAGCCCTTTGGGAAAGTAATATCCAGTTATTATGCAGGTAGAATTGTTTGCAGTTTTGGGGTGGAAAACAGTGGCACAGGGTAAGAAAGGTGAAAGCATAAATGCATCTGCTGACCTGAGGGCTCTGCTCCACAGTGTGTAGCACTTCACACTTCATAGTTTCAAAACACAGCTCCCAAAAATTCCCTTGCAGCAATGGATACTTTCTAAATCCTACTTTAGAGCACCAAGGTAAGCATCTAGATAGCAAGGACCACAATTACGATCACCATGAAATGTCTGGGCTATCATCATACGGGAACTCTGTGGCAGAGACAGAAGCTACTTCTGCAGCATGTTGCTGAATTCAGAACCTCCTGTTGCTTCCTGCGGTCTCCTGCCTCATTTCCCTCTGAACCAATGGACCTGTTTCCCAATAGCTTCTTCCACTGCATACGCTGCTCGATCCCCAGGGAACCTTTGTGCTCAGCAAGGTGGAGATCCTATGGAAAAACATGTGCATGCCTTGCAGTGTGAGCTGTAGGTACCTGATTGCAAAGGATATGAATTAAGGCTGCAAAATGTCAGAAAGTTTCAACAACGGATAGAGCTTTTCGTTTTGCCCAGTGATATGTATTCATTTCTGCTCATTTATTGTGGTTTTGGACATTTCAGGTGTCTCTACATCTAATTAGGTAAAACAGTTCAGATTCTATATTATGTTGTGATTTGTCCTCTTAGAATTAAGTATTTCTCCAGTAGAGATACCAGGTATCACGTAATAGGTGACTTAAAATCAGTAATTATATTACATGGGATTTATATATAGTTAAGTGCAAAACATTTTGGCTATAACATTTTTACCTGAAACAAATAAATAGATTACAACTGACCATTACTAAAGAAATTGGCACAGCAGAAGGAAGCAAGCAATCAATTCTAGTTTCTAGGTTGTTGGCTTTGTGACATTTTGTGTCACCCATTCAGATGGCAATTCGACATGAGATTCTTACGAGCGTGGGTGTTTTCAAAACTATAGTTTTACCATCATGAGATTTTTCTCTTCCCACATTACAGGATTCTAACGCAGGCGTTTTGTGTGTTTCAGTGGTCGAAGGATTAGCTCTGCTGGATTTAGGGGTCTCGCCATATTCTGGAGCTATTTTTCATGAGGTCGGTATGCATGCTTTGTTTTAAATGTGACATTCAAGTGGCATGTTTCTTAGTCTTACTGCTCACGGCAAAGGCTGGGGATGGGACTTGGGTTGTCCCAAAGACTTCAGAGGACTTGGAGTCGTATAGTTGTCTGTGCAATAGTCGTATATGTAGCAACAAGCACAATGAGGAAATACAGTTCATCAGGGAATAACGTGTTGCTGTGCAGATGATGGACACCGTAATAGTTGTTACTGCATAAGGAGAGCCCAAAATAGGGGAAAACTGTAATAAGTAAAATACTCTGTTCACATCTAGATGTTTCTGTCAGCAGAAGCCAGAGCAGGGAGAGACAGTGTCCTCATGAGCCTGAACACAGTTTTACTGGATAGCAGCATCTTGAGTTTCTGCATTTGCAGAAATAATAACATTAGCATGAGCATGCAGTACATTTATTCCTCATCTTGAAAACACCTCCTTCTTCCAAACACTTAAGCACCATCCATGAATGTGAAACACGTGCTGTGATTAAACAAAATCCTTCCAGGGTTTTGTGCCCTGGAGTGGTCTCATTGATGTGAAGGTCACCTGGGGGTGAAGCAGATACTTTGTATACCTCTGAAAATTTGTTTCTCTTCAACAAATTCTCCTTTAAACACAGTTTTCTCCCAGTCTGTGAAATATTTTCCCATGCTTATTCATACCATCACATTATTTTTAATGTCTTTTAAAAGACATATATTTTCTTACAGTGAAGACAGAATTCACACCATGTAAATATAGTACTTCCAGATTAAGCTTTTCTGTCATAGGAATAATTCAGAATAACTCTTATCTTAGAAGGGAAGAGCTGTGGGAGTAAAAGAATGATAGGACTGTCGTCCTACTGCTTTATGTTTTTTAACATGCTTTCTTCTTTTTGCTTTATAAAAGACTCATCTAAACAGCAGACTGAACAGTGAAACCAGCTATGTGGGAAATACTTTCAAAAGTACCTGCAAACAACCTGAAAAAATAAATTGTCTAGGAACAATTATTTTCTAAAGCTGTTCTTTATATGCTTTCTATTGTAACCGCTACTATACTAGTAGAATTGAAAAGTTGGAATAGAATATAATTTTCAAAGTTGATGGTGTCCTTTATAAAGTGAATTGAGAACTTTGCAGGGAAAAAGACCAGTAAGTGTGCTTTGATTAATGACTTTACTCTGAAGTAACAGCATTGTAGAAGAGGGTAAAGCAAATTACCTTTCACAGTCTCTCATAGTGCGTTTTTCTAATCAAGTCGTCCGTTGTTTTTTCTGGATGGTATTTCACTTGGGTTTCCCTTCTGCTCTCTTTTAGACCCCACTGATAATATATCTGTTTCACTTCCTGATTGAATACGCTGAATTGGTGTTCATGGTAAGTGCTCCTGGAAAGCTCCTCTTGAAAGCTCCCACTCTGCGAAATACTGAGCGTGACTTTCCTTCTGCTCCTGCAAGAATCAGGGACCTGCAGCCTCCCTGCAGCTCAGATTCCTGC